TGCAGAGGCTGAATACAGGAGCATGGCACAACTTGCTGCAGAGATATTGTGGGTTTAGTCCCTGCTAAGGGAGCTTCACTGCAACTTTCAAACTCCTAAAATTATGTGTGACAACCTCAGCACGGTTACACTTGCTCACAATCCAATCCTCCACAATAGAACCAAACATATGGAGTTGGACATTTTCTTTGTCAGAGAGAAGGTGGCTCAGCAAAAATCTTGTTGTAGCTCATGTTCCTGCTCATGATCAGTGGGGAGATGTGTTCACCAAGCCCTTATCAGCTGTGAAATTTCTACCTCTTCGTGACAGGTTAAGAGTGGTCAACAAACAAAACTTGATTAACACACCCTCAACTTCTAAGGGGGAATGATAGAGATATGATATAGTGTTATCAGTTAGCAGTGGCTAAGTTCTGAGCCATTCAGTTATGCTGAGCTGGCATAGTTTGTTATAGTTTGTTATGTTGAGCTGGCATAGTTTGTTATGCTGTATGCACTATATAAGTGACTCTCTTGTATTTCATTCATTTAAGAAATACAATATGAAATTCCTAACTACCCTTTCCAACAGATTCTTAGATTCTATCACTACCAACCGGTTTTGTAGGGTTGAGTTAGGTCCAACCACATTTATTAACAATTAAGAGAGACGACTTTAGAATGTTCTAGTCTAGAATAGACTGGACAGCCACATAATAGAAACTGGTACAAAACGATGATATTTAATATTACTTACAATTAGTTTCCAAGAAATTTAAGAGTCATGGTTCTTTCCCTCCAAGAATTCGAGAGCTTGGTCTCTCCTTTTGTTATGCTATATGCACTATATAAGTGACTCTCTTGTATTTGCATTGGATGTATTCGTTGGAGTTTAATACAACTTTTCATATCTAAAAAGAATTAATATGTGTGAAGTTAATGCAATTTTTAAAATGATTCATACTAATCTCTATGTCAGCAAATCAATAATAAATAATTAATAACTAAAGTTATAGTTGGAGCATAAAGAAGAAATTAGGGTTTCGGTTGTTCCATTTTATATAATAAAGATGAGTGCATATAGAATCAAACTACTCATCTTTTTTATTTCCCTTTTCATTAGTTATATAAAGAGCATCACTTTTGTCTTAGAATTTGTTGATGTGATATTCAACCATTGCAGGTCAATCAGCTAAACTACACCACACACACCAGCTTTATCAAAAGTGCTGCGCTTCATCCTGATATAGCCAGATTCACCCCAATCAGAACCCCATGAATTCTTCACAATCCAATACTTGTCTCTATTTTATTCTCCATACCCAACTACAGTCATAGCATGATTAAGCTGCTTTCCACAAATGCCAGAGAAAACACCTTCTGAATAAAGTTGAAATGAATAACCATCCGCGTCAATTCCAACAGAGACGAGTTGTTGTAGCTTTAAGCTTAGCCTCATTATCAGCAGGAACTTTTTCATATCCACTTATACTCACATCATAATGTTTAGCTTTTTCTGTGTCACAGGTACCATCTACCCCTTTGTAAGGATAGTCTTTCTCAGCGGATATTCCACCTTTGTTTACGATGAATGTAAATGCTGTCTCCATTAAGCCACCTCCGCAGCCTTGGTTATCACTTTCAACATCATAATTTATCAGTTCTTATTCCGATAGAGAGACCATACCTGAATCGCGGAAAAACACATACAATCTCACAGATAATAAGTTTTTCTGCGCGTTTTTGCACTTCATTTGCATTTCATTTGTACGCGCGGAAAAACTCATACAATCTCACAGATAATAAATTTGCAGATCTTACAAATGAAGAATTTAGAAGTACTTACATGGGTCTTAGAACTAGGTCGTCGCATTCACATACAGGATTCAGGTATGATGAACATGGTGATCTCCCAGAAAGCAAGGATTGGAGTGATCTCCCAGAAAGCAAGGATTGGAAAAAGGAGGGAGCAGTGACTAAAGTCAAGAATCAAGGCCGATGCGGTAATGTTTCTTGTAATACAAGTGCATAGCTTTTAGGTGTTTCGGAATATGTTTTTTCAATTTCACTGTATTATGCAGTTCATGCTATGTCTTCATGCAGGAGGTTGTTGGGCATTCTCTGCAAATGCAGCTGTAGAAGGCCTCCACAAAATAAAATCGGGAAATTTGGTCTCTCTATCGGAACAAGAACTGATAGATTGTGATGTTGAAAGTGATAACCAAGGCTGCGGAGGTGGCTTAATGGAGACAGCATTTACATTCATCGTAAACAAAGGTGGAATATCCGCTGAGAAAGACTATCCTTACAAAGGGGTAGATGGTACCTGTGACACGGAAAAAGCTAAACATTATGCTGTGAGTATAAGTGGATATGAAAAAGTTCCTGCTGATAATGAGGCTAAGCTTAAAACTGCAGCTGCTAATCAACCCGTCTCTGTTGGAATTGACGCGGATGGTTATTCATTTCAACTTTATTCAGAAGGTGTTTTCTCTGAAATTTGTGGCATTTGTGGAAAGCACCTTAATCATGCTATGACTGTAGTTAGGTATGGAGAAGAAAATAGAGACAAGTATTGGATTGTGAAGAATTCATGGGGTTCTGATTGGGGTGAATCTGGCTATATCAAGATGAAGCGCAGCACTTTTGATAAAGCTGGTGTGTGGCATTGCCAAGTTAGCCAGCTACCCTGTGTAGTGTAGTTTAGCTTATTGACCTGTAATGGTGGAATATCGCATCAACAAATTCTAAGACAAAAGTGATGCTCTTAATATAACTAATGAAAAGGGAAATAAAAAAGATGAGTAGTTTGATTCTATATACACTCATTTTTATTATATAAAATGGAACAACCTATGAAACCCTAATTCCCATCCTTTTTCCCTTCTTTATGCTCCAACTATTTCTTAAACAGAGATTAGTATGAATCATTTTAAAAATTGCATTAACTTCACATATATTAATTCTTTTTAGATATGAGAAGCTTATATGTGCAATACAAGCAAAAGCTAGATGAAACAGTATAAAGTAATTTAAATAGAACAAATTTTTAAACAATGATCCAGAAGGAATGTATACTATACAACATATAAGACATGAAATAGCATAAGGGATTGGCTCCTACCTCCATTCCAGGAGATACAAAAAGAGTCCCACGAGCTTCTAAGCTCATTAATGCATGAGCTGTGATTGGACCATAACCCACTGACACCTGTTCAGTTAGAGGAACGTCATTCAGTAGGACGCTCAATACAGCTTTATGATTTATAACAAATATATCATGTGAGTATTAACTCTGTGATTAATAATAAACATACCCGTACTCCTTTCCTCACATTACCAAGAGGGCCTCGAAATTTTTCATATGCTGCAAGTTTACAATAATGCAGATTATAAAATATATTGATGTAGGATGTGGGTATAAAACAAGTCTAATAATAGTTTCATTGCAAAAATCAAAGTGCTCAAAAATAGTAGAAGTTATTCAAAATTCAAAGAAGCATGCATCATGATCCACAAACATAATGAGCATAAACTAAATAATGGGGGCAGCTAAACAGCATGATTTGAAAAACATATAACAATTATACTGAGAATCAACATCTTTGCATGCTAGATGGAAGAAGAAAGTTTTTAAGCAGAACGTTCATACTGAGGAAAGCACGGTGCATGAACCCAGTTCCACGTGTCTCACTGCTGAACACATTCCTGTAACCAACCAGGCCCCTGACAAACAGTAACAAAGAAATTACTAGATTTGTTGCACATCTGATTTCACTAACTGTAATGCTTGTTAGAAAATACTAATGTTATAATATCTTGATTTTATCCTCAATTAGTTTCTTATCTCAGTGTATCTTAGAGTATCCCTTAGGATTAGTTTTTATATTTCTATATTATTATCATAATTTGTTTCCATGTTTAACTAGGATAATTAGGATTAGGTGTATTAATATAAATAAAGGCTAGTGCTTCTTTTTTTTTAGGGGTGTTCGCGGGCCGGTTTGGTTCGGTTTTGAGCGAATCCGATGCCCAAACCGATCAAAAATATATGGATTGATTTGTATTGGATTTTCACATTTTTCTATAAAACCTAAACCGAACCAAACCGAAAAATAATTGGTTGGTTTGAATTGGATTGATCGGAAACATTAGAAACAAATATGCGAAAATATTTTTAAAACTTTCTTATTTTCGTCAACTAATTTTCTATAATAATTATTTTTTTTTAATTTTTTGTTTTAATATAGATTGTGAATGTCACAAATGATGTTTCACTTTTCTCTTCTTAAAGTTGAATATCTTATACTAGTTTCCATTATAATGATATATATCATATGAATTAATATGATTAGTTTGGGTAGACAGGCTCGCGGGTAGAATTTTGAAAATTCGTGCCCGAACCAATTAACATCGGGTTTCATTGGTTTGGTTCGGTTAATGCCCGAACTAAAAAAATGCCCGACCCAAACACCATGGTTTGGTTTGATTCGGATTTGCCCGAACCAATAAACGCCCCTACTTTTTTTTATCAAAATTCATAGTTCAAAGTTTTCATTCCTGCACTTCTTTCTTTACCTAAAACCCCTATTACCATCAGTCTGGAAAAACCAGATATACAAAAAATGTGGCAAAAAGAGACTTAATGGACATGTGCTGCTAGGCTCAGATATGTGTTTTGTCCAAACCCAAATGTGCTTATGTTTCTCACTAGGATGTTATTCAAAAATTTGTACTACATTTGAAACTTTGTTAAAATATCAGCTTTGAATTTGATTGGTTTACTTAATATAATGCATATTGCTAATATAATACACAATGTAACTTAATCAAGTTTTTGTTCAAAAAATGGAAAATGTTTTTATAAAATATAATTTTCCCATGCACCTTACAGTTTCAAGATCCAGTACCTTCAATATGATATTGGAAGTCTACTATAATAATCGTATTCATAATTCTTTTAAGAACATTGTTGTCCTGTCGCTCTTTGGCAATCAGGTTTTTGTTTGTCAGCATGTGAGGTTCACATGCCACCTGCCTATCGTCTGTTCACAGTGGTCGAGTTTTGTTTGCCAACCCTACCTGTTCAGACAACTTTTTGCTTGTGAGTCTCTCATTTGAGTTTCATTTCAACGCTGTTCGCAGCTCACGCGGCACCTCCTTGGGACCTCCCCCGATAGATCCTTGTTTCTTCAATCCAACCTAGATTGAATGTGCTTCTCTGAAGACATTGGTTTTGTCTAAGGTACAGTTTGCCACTGGTTGTATCAATTGTGGTTTGGCATTCAGTTTGTCTTGGTTGCAGTTTTACAGTGGTTTTTTCTCAGTTGCGCTGTTGAACCAGTTGCACTTTTGCAATGGGTGCCACAGTAGCGGTTTAATACTGGTTTTGTCTCAAGTGTGGTTTGCCACCTTTTATTCACCCTCTCAATACTCATGTAATGCAAACAAGAGCCAAAAGGGGCATTACTCAACCAAGACTTAACCCTACCCTTTTACTTACACACGTGGAACCAACTTCTGTCAGACAGGCCTTGGCTGTCCCACACTGGTTTCAGGCAATGAAAGATGAATTTCAGGCTCTTTTGAAAAATCAGACATGGACTCTGGTGTCTCCATCTGACTCAAGGAAGCCCATTGGTTGCAAATGGGTATTTCGGGTCAAGGAAAATTCTGATGGCTCCATAAACAAATACAAAGTCAGGCTTGTGGCCAAAGGCTTTCACCAACAAGCTGGTAGTGATTTTCAGGAAACATTTTCTCCAGTTATCAAGCCTGTTACAGTCAGGACTGTTCTCACTCTTGCTGTTACTCGTGGGTGGATCATTCAGCAAATAGATGTGAACAATGCTTTACTTAATGGCAATCTTGAGGAGGAAGTTTACATGCAACAACCCCCTATGCTTTTCTTAATGGCAATCTTGAGGAGGAAGTTTACATGCAACAACCCCCTGGGTTTGAAGCATCTGATAAGACTCTTGTGTGCAAGTTAAACAAAGCCATTTATGGTCTTAAGCAGGCTCCTAAGGCCTGATTTGACAAGCTCAAAGGAGCTTTACTGCAACATCAGTTTAAGGCTAGCAGGTGTGATCCCAGCCTGTTTTTCCTCCACACCAACAGCTTTCATCACTGGAAACTCTCCATCATTTATCACTTCCTCGATTAAGAGCTTAAATGCTGCCTTCTCTCTCACAGAACTTGGAAAGTTGGATTATTTCCTAGGAATTGAGGTCTCTCATCTTTCTAATGGTTCTTTGTTTCTCTCTCAAAACAAGTATGTGAGTGACTTGTTGGCTAAAGTCAATATGCTTAATGCAAATGGGATGCCTACTCCTATGATCTCTAGCAGCAAGCTCTCAAAGGTTGGCTCTGACAATGTTTCTGATCCTGCTTTGTATCGGTCAATTGTTGGGGCACTGCAGTATGCAACTTTGACAAGACCAGAAATCTCCTTTCCTGTAAACAAAGTGTGCCACCATTTTATTTGTTCCATGGAGTCTTTTTGTCCTAGCCACAATACGGTCTGAACTATGTTCTCTACCTATTTTAAATATCAAATTATATTATTAGGTTTTCAAAGGGTGCATTTGTAACAAGCTTAAGCATAAGTCTTAGCTCAAGAGTGAGTGTTACGAAATATGGCAATATCTTCTAATATTCTTTATATTATTTGAGTATCTTAGATAATCTCAATGGATTAGTTTCTTATCGGTATTTTAGAATATCTCCTTAATATTAGTCCATATTTCTTGTTATTATCATGATTTGCTACCCTATTCAATTAAGATTTTTGAGCCTTGAGTTAGTATAAATATAAGAGTTAGTATTTGGTCTTTTTGTATCAAATAGCATAATCATCAATCATATTATGGACCATTCTCAGAATTCAAAATATCCATTCTTTCTTTTCTCTCACCGTCTCTCCATCGATACAAGATAAATAAAGGATAATAGTGAGATGAATTCCCAAAGCTCAAGTTATTCAATTAGCTCTACGGGACCAAACAGTAAACAAGAAATCTTGACTGAGTTAATAAGATGTGCCGTCTGCAAACAATCATGAAGCCGAAAGCAAATTTTTAGTGAGAGAAACTAGAAAAATCATATTAATTGTCAGACATCTAATTATTGAAGAGACGCTTAAATTTATCCCGTTTTCCTTTTAATAATCTCAGAGCAAAAAAGATGTACATCTAAATTTCTCTGTGATTTATTCGGTACACAAGGTTACAAATCAAAGAGATAAAGTCAATATGGAAAAAGAGACAACAAAACCAACCTTGATGGACAAGTCAAGGACAATCTAGTTCGACCAATAGCTCCCGCGACAGGACCCATGTCGGTAACCTCAGCTCGTGTGTGAGACAAAGCCTCCATTACAAAGCCAACGTGCTCATCATTTACCTGGGATAGATCCATTGTGATGTTAAAAGTCCAAACCCATGAACAAGCATACTATGAACACAAAATTGAATTATTACCTCGATTGTAACTTCTTCTATTGGCTCAAGTTTCTGACCTTTGTCGGTTTTATACCTAATAAATTCATAGCAAAAGGACATTAAAATGGAGTAACAACAATAATCAAGCTTTATCCCACTAAGTATCATATAACTTGACCAAAGTCTCAGAACTATCAACCAATGTACAAAACTTGGCCAGTTCAAACATTTTAAATGGGTAGAACTTTCAAGAGTATTTG